TTTTTTTTTTTTTTTTTTTTTTCTTTTTGTTTTTTCCATTTTTGATGAATCATTTTCATATCAAAATCATGACATTTTGGTGATGCCAATTGATTTTGCTAAATATTTGCTGAAACATGCAAAGATTCTGAAATAACCACTCTGCATGCACCTTATTAATTAGTACGAAATTTTATGTTCTATTATTTCACTTTTAATGATAATATCCATCATAAAAAATTATAATACATGCTCTTAGGATAGAAAATGATTAGTGAAAGTGAACAAACAATAAATCCCGCCGTAAATCAATCGCAAAACGTTACATGAGCTAGCCTTTTGTTGTAAAAGTCGTGCATTATTATGACGTCAAAAAAATACTCTACTTTTGACCTTTATTTTGTCCTTTTGAGTGTTTTTTAATTTTTATCAAGTTTTTTCTTCTTTTTTTATAAAAGATTTAAAGATAAGATTTTAATAAAATAAACTAATGTACATTAATAACCATATATTCAGGGGCGAAGCCAGATTCAATGGCTGGGGTCGTCCGACACCGACGCTTTGCGTTGAACCACTTGTACGTAACAAAATTTCACCGTGTAAGACCTCATTAAAAAAATAATAAGACCCCGGATATATTACGTAATGTCTAAAGCATTTACTTGAAATGAGCATAGTAGAGTTCCAAAATTAAGTACAAAAACATGTGATTTAAATAAATACAATGATATATAGATTAAATTATGCTTAACATTTAAGTAGGAGTGTTATTCGAGTTGAAATATTGAGTAAGTCTCATTCAAGCTCGTACTCGTTTAAGCTCAAGTAAAAGGGAGAATTAAAACTAGTTATCAGTGAATAAGCTTTGTTTCGGCTTATTTAATAGTTCAAAATATATTCGTTTAAGTCAAATAACGAACCAAGTTCAAATTTTCTTAAGCTAAAACGAATTGTGTTTACTAATTTAATAAATGAGCTCGATTAGTTATTTAAATCTAATCGTTTAAGTCAAATAACGAATCGAACTCGAACTTTCTTGAGCTTAAACGAACTGTGTTCACAAACCATTCCTTTCGTAAGAATATTTTCAAGCCACCGGTCTATGAGCTCGGATAGTTGATTGCGCCACTTCAAGTTTTTTGGGCTTAGACAAATCAATAGATAAAACTTTTTACAGTCATGGGCTTGAGGCTGTACAGCACCAACACGGGCCCATGGGCCCTATGTTGTCCCTTCTAATCCAGCAGGTGTGAGACACGACAACTGACTATTATTATATGAG